CTCCTCCTCCTCCTCCTCCTCCTCCTCCTCCTCCTCCTCCCCCTCCTGAGTGATTCATGAATTCAAGTAGAGCCAATCTTTCTTTTAACATGTTGCTAGGATCCAGCTGGGTGCCCATGTTTGGAGGAAGAGAACTTTCAGTTTCTTTCTTGTTCTTTTTTTCTTCAGCAGAATTCATATTTGTTTCTGTCCTTAGTGATAAAGACTCCCTTCTCCTCTCTTCCTTCCTCCCTCCCTCCCTCCTCTTTTTGCCTTCCAATGTACAATTGTAAGCCACTTTCCTCTTTTCTCTTCCTCCCAGGATCTATATGACTTTCCTTCCCTTCCCTTTCCCCTTTCCTTTCCCCTTCCCTTTCCCTTCCCCCAAATTTATATTAATCTTCTTTCATTCTTCCTCCTTCCCACATCAACCATGGTAACTTCTCTCCTCCCTCCCTCTCTCCTTTCCTTCCTTCCTTCCTCTTTCCTTTCTTCCTCTTCTATTTACTCTTCTTTCCTTTTCTTCCTTCCTCCTTCCTTCCTTCCTTCCTCCCTCCCTCCCTCCCTTCCTCCCTCCCTCCTTCCTTCCCTCTACATTGCTCTTCCTTTCTTGTCTAATTGCCGTCTTTCCTTACTCTTAGATGTTTTCTGTTGAGCGAGATTGAAAAGGAGGAAAAAGAGAAACTCTGGTATTACACTCAACTGCAGAGTCTCTCTAAGCGGCTGGATGAATTGCCCCACGTGGAGACGGTGAGTTTCCAGGCTGGTGGGTGGCAGGACCAACTCAAGGACAAGAAGTGGGATATTTCCCCAAGTGTATCTCAGCTACACCTTCAACATCTTAAATTCTGGCCCTTACATTTTGTGGAGGAGGAGAGACCAGGAAGGGCGTGATAAGCAGAGGGGGCATCTCTGACTTACCTCTTTTCTGCCCGCCCCCAGTTCTCAATGCAGATGGACCTGATCCGTCAGCAGCTGGAATTTGAAGCCCAGCACATCCGGACACTCATGGAGGAGCGCTTTGGGACAACCGATGAAATGGTACAAAGAGCCCAGGTGAGAACAGGGAGGAGGGGGAGGAGGAAGGGCGGAGGGAGAGGAAGAGGAGGAAGA